TTAAGAACCTACTCCAGAAATACGTAAACTTAAAATCATAATATCTAAAGACAGCTCAGGCTGACCTTCAATACTAAAAGGTGGGTAAAAGGTTCAACTATTACCTGCACCACCTTCAATAAAAAATATGAAAGTGAGGCAAAAAGAAAAAACTAACATACTATTATTGAATCAATTAGAGCAAATGATAACTTTACCTTAACTAAGACTATTTGTGAAGAATGACTTTAATTAAAGGAAATCATAATTTTCATTTAATTAATCCTATTCCTTTAAACAAACAATTAATTCCAGCAATAATAATATTATATCAGTTTTTTTGCTTTATTTTAATACATTAATTTATATCAGTTCTTGAAGATAATATTTTCTTCTATAACTGACTTAAGATGGTTTTAATATTATTTAATTAGATTAATTGCTATATAATATAAAACAATACTTTCATTTTATCATGTAAATAATCTCAAATAAAAAAGTTTTGGAAAATATAAAGTAACCGAGAATTAAGTGATATAGTGTGAACAAGAAAGAGTAGTAAATGCAAATGGTTGAAAGAAGTAGTAATTAGAAGATATTCAGTTGTAACAATTAATTTTTAATTATAAAAATTAAGCGATGAAATTAAAATGAAAACAAAAAAAAACAAAGAAATTTGAATTCTCTTATAAGTTTAGTGATATTCAAATTCTAAAATAGGCAATTAAAAGGAAATATTGCAATTTTTTATCGTCCATTTCTTTTCAAGCAATCAAACATCAAATTTGCTAGCCTTACTTGGCTGAAAAACATCGAATGTAAAATGCAAATATGCACAAAATATCTTTTTGATACTGTCTTAGACATACATATACAAATGGGAAACAATCAACCAACTCTGTTGAAATAGCTTGAAAATAGCTGTAAGGAAAAATATCAAAATTGAATTTTAAATTCGATAATCGAATATTGAATTACAATTCGAGCAGAAATAGAAAGCGGCAATTCAAAATAATCGACGAAGAATTCTGAAGCGATTTACTTTTCCAAAAAAAGAATATAACAATTGAGTTGACGAATAAAAGTATAAAGGATAAGAAGGAAGTTATAAAAGCTGTTGAAATAAAAGCATTCATTCAAAGTAAACTTAAATTAATTCAAAAAAAGTTGGAAATTTTAGATTAAAAATGGAAGTAAGTAATTATTGCATTTGAAATATATGTCGAAAAAGTGTAATTGTGAGAAATATTACATGAAAATTAATCAAAAAAAGTGAGGAAATTATTGAGGAAATGATTGAATGAAATAATTCAATCAATTATTTATGTTATTTTTATTTCGAACGGTAAGAAAGAAAATTCAACTTTCTTTGTCTATTTATTGTCGTAAAATTGAAGTAATTTTTTAATAAATATGTCTAAATAATAAAAATGATTTATGTTATAGAAATATTTCTCATTGAAGTGATTCATCGCATAAATAATATCTAATATGATGAATCATTTGGCTACATTTTCATCCTTCATTACCATGTTTTTCTTTAATGGTAAATTACTGTAAACCAATTCAAAATAACCAGTCATGTTTCAATCGTTGTACTGTTTATCAAATTTTCCTTTGCACATCTTTACTTTTTTATATTCACAACATGCCTATCTGTACGTATCCAATAGGATTTTTTTTATCAAAACCCTTCCTAAAGAGAAGAAGGGTGCTCTTCTGCATTGACTTCAACGTTACGTTTTGTTATATTGCACACATCAACAAAGTGTCACCAAACGTTTTCTTGTTATATGATAGTACTATTATCTACATTCAAGCTGTTTACTTTGAACTACAACAAATAATCCAAAGTATATTCGCTCAGATCATTGAGTAGGGAAAGTCTTACAGTGATCTCTCTGTTACTGATAAATCATTTATAAATGTTGTGTTTTTTTGAAAAGAGAGTTTTAGAATTCAACAAGCGTTTAATATGGCACAATCGAATTGTAGTGAAAGCTTGTTTATTTGATAGAAAGTTTTATTTTTCTTTATTTTATAGCACAATTATCAGAATATATCGGCAATTGAGTTGACCGCTTAGTTGGTCATCCTTACCGTTCGGCGGTTTGGGACGCTTCGTTGAGGTATTGATTTGGATGGCATGACCTCTTCGTTTGGGAGCAGTAAGTTACATTGAAATCGTTGCTTTGGAGTTGGATGATGCTCGTTAAGCACTGGTTGTAGTTCATTATCAATTGGTTATTTTGTTGACGAACTAACTGTACCAAAGGTCATGAAGTCAGTTGATACAAAGACTGATTGTAATAGAATCGTTTAGTCATTTAACAAAAGTAAACACAGTAAAGAAGAGGTCATTGAATGTAAATCACTAGCGGCATTCGTTTGCAATATACGTATAGAAAACTGCTAATTAACAAAGAATTACTTGAATTTATACCATGATATAGTTAAAAATCAACTGCGATCAGGCATAATTGAAGAAGTACATCCGAAAGATTGAAGTTATACCATATGCCATATCATGAGTGAGAATACAACCAAATATGATGCTTCGGTGCATCTCAAAAAATTTAAGAGTTTGAACAAAGTATTGTACCGAGTCCAATAATGGTAGGGTATTGGTACGTTTTCGCATGATGGGAATAGTGATAATAGCTGATATTGAAAAAGCATTCTTACAATTGGAACTGTGTTCTGAAACTCGATTCCTTTGGTTTAACCAAACACAAACGGTGAAAATATAGAATATTATCGTTTCAAGAGGGTTCTCCTTGGAGTGATATCATCACTTCTTTTATTACCAGCTACTTTGAACTATCATCTGGAAAATTATGGCAGCACAATGGTGCGTAAGATAAAAAAAGAATCTGTGTATAAATAACATCAATATATCTGATGATGGAACAGAATGAAAATTATTTTTGGAGAAGCTTCAATGAACATAAGGATACATATTTCTAACAGCGAATTTAACAAGAGGATGAATACCTGAATGGTCGATTAAAACAAACAAAGTAAATTTTTCAAATGGATTCACAATGTAAATGTCATTCATCTAATTAAAACCATGGGTTGAAAGGAAATAAATTAAACGAACAATTCTACAATTCGTTGCTTCACGATATGATCGATCCGTTGGATTTATTAATTTCTTTGATGATGCGACTCAAACTATTTATCCAATTCGTTGTTATTTTAAAACTTTCAAAAGTTCTTGCATAAAATAATCATTTCATTTTGCATATTTTACTGCAATATATCTGTGACGGCAATTTCATGCCATTCTGAATTCTAGTGTTCAGTAAATTAATCAAATAACATCAGTCAAGCAAATTACAGACCGAAATCTCCATGAAGTAGCCCATAACCTCCGACACCCTTATGGAATCCATTTCAGCTTTCACTCTTTTTTCAGCTTTCAGAATCGTTGGATTTTCTCAAAGCGAACTCCAAATGAATAATGCCATGGCGCACCCTAGCCATAGCCATAGTCACGGCTCCGAAGTCTATATTATCCGTTAAGATGGCCACGCAAGCATAATTAAAGAAGGGCCAAACAGATAGCTGCAAAGCCATGATTGCTGTAAAGTTATCGCTTGTCTCGTTTTCTAGAAAAACAGGTAAAATATCGTAAAAAATAAAACAACACTTAATTTTATTATATTCATTAATATCAAGAAAAATTCGAATTTCACTTCTGAAAATTTAAATTATCTTATTTTTTTTAGCGGCAAATATCATTGTAAATATATTATTGATTTCAGTGATTTCAACTCACTATTTATCAAACTTTTATTATTTCGAAAATTTGATTAATCAATGTTATATCATAAATTAACAAATGCATTCATCAACAAATGTTAACTTGAATATTTCCTTCTTTTTGGAAAATGCTCTGACAAATATCAATTCAATTAATATAACAAATACATTTTTATTGCTTTTGCATATTAAACGAATAAATTTACAGTATGAATTTCATTGTTATACTAAATCTACCTGTAATAATCACTTGATAATAAAACGTAAAATTATTTCTATAACCAGACAGTCCAAAGAATATTGCAACAATGCAAATATGATGAATGGATTGGCTTAAAAATGGCAATGTATAAGCAAAGTTATCAGTCAAGAGACAATTCAAACTCAGCGTTATTGTCCTCAAATCAACAGTGGTAACGTTAATTCAATTTTATCAACGAAAATCACAACCTGCTGCTTCTGTGAAGAAAATTCATTGCTTATTTGCTGTCAACTTATCGGATTTCGGGCTTTTTTTTTAAAAAGGTTTCATAGATATTAGGCTTACTCTACTACTGCACTGAGTTGTAAAATATGTTCTGTTTTCTTTCAACTTTTAGAAGTAACAGCGCAAACAAATGATGGTACTTGATACTGTATGTATTAGAGTTCATAGGAAATAATTGGAGGAAGTGACTAACCAATAATCAAAAAAGAATATCTAAACGTTTTGGAGCATTAGAAATTGATTGATTTTTGATTAATGTGATTTACAAAATAGAAACTTAAGAAAAACCTTTTAACTGTTAGTGAATGTGGCTAAATTATATTGTAGAATGATAATTCTATCGTAAACGAGAAATCAGATAAAATATCAATAATGAAATTAAAACAGTCAGATTAGTTTCAAATGAAATTTAATTTCTTAACTTCGAAGTCTAACTCGAGGATAAGTTAATAAAATTTGTTTCCGATTTCATATACAACAAAACGATCACAGAGGTGTATTTCAATTTAAATGTTTTTTCGAAAACTCCCTGTGGGGTCTACGATAAACAAAAGTACATTACCATGACAATAACTTTGAATTACTGAAATCATAATTAAATGAGAAGTTTGAATTCTTTAAAAAATACTTAGCTTAATGAGAATCAACAATGATCATCACACGTCAAATATTTTCATAGAGATGCTATCACACGTATAATGTGCTGAGTAAGAAATGTTCTCACATTTTTATCATCTGATCTTTTCAGTCAGTTCTAGACGAAAAGATGAGAGATAAGCTAATAATTTCGGTAGTTATCCTTTGTTGTCTTCAAGCGACATTGATATTTGCTGAGCATCAAGTTGAATTACATCCCATTTATAACAAGTTAAACGTATGTTAATTAATTATTTCATGAGGTTTAAGCGTTCTATCATTTTCTGTCAATAAGGATTAAAATTAATTGAGCTAAATTTCATTACTCACAAGTTTGATAATACTTTTAGCAACATACCGGATATGCTGCAAAGGTGATGATCGGTGAACCGAAAAAAGAGTTCTCTCTACTTTTGGATACTGTTACCGCATTCCTTTTGGTTTTTCCTTCTTTTCATCCGTATGTTCAGCTTTACCGCTTTTTTAAATCATCCCTACATCTAGAAATAAGTTATGATTTGTAGAAAATATTCCAAAATTATTACAAATTGCTAACTTTAACTCAATTAAAAGCAGAATCAGATAAAATTAAAGAATTTCAAATCTCAAAATTTTTAATAATTTCATATATTAAAAGTTCCTCGGATTATCTTTGTTAAATTGCAGAGTGGCAATTTTGGGAGGAATGCAAACTTACTCAGGCTTGGAATCGCGATCCTTTAATATAACTAATATAGTTTCCCTAACACAAATTTACGGTTCTAGAATATTTACAGTGTGCGAACATGGGGATAATATTTCGGTATTTCTTCTTAACTGTTTATTGCTATCTTATGGATAAAAGATAGCAAAATTGATATTACTCAACTGATATCACTTCAGTTAACGTTAAAGATCGTAGCAAAAGTGTTCTGTTTAATTCATCTATTCATAACAACGATGCTTGCAAATAATTCCATTCAAAAATATATCATTTCCACAATATCAACTAAAATTTCGAGAAATTATTTTTCAGTTTGATTTATTGCATGGAACACACGTAGATTTCACAGGATCGCCAGTGCATGAAGCAGGCATTATGATATGGCCTAAATTGGAAGATTATCAAAAAATCGATGGTGTACTTGGATTATCGGCATTGCATGTTAATGGCTTTCCATATGGAGTTTTCTACATTTCTTCCTCCAACATATTCGTTATGGATAATCTGATAAAGAAGGCTATCCGGAATAATGAATTAGATCCGGTTATTACTATTGCTTTGCCACCATTGGTAAATAAACACTTCATTTTTCCATTTTTTTAGCATAATATGTGCAGAATAGAAAGACACAACTATTTCGATCATATTTGAAGTAATTTGAATGGAAAGCGACTAATTATATTAAAAGATAACTACTTATCTAATGAGAAATTTTCATTATTTTCGTCTTATCATTGGCTAAATTTTTTTCCCAGGAATTTGCAATAATTAGCTCATGATATCATTTTTTCCAACTTTTCTAAATGTCACTGTGAGTTGTTATATTTGAACAAAACATATAATATTAATAACATTGAAAATATAGGATTCCAATAAAACAGCGATATTAACGCTTGGTGGACGTGATACCCAAACATGCAATTTGAATTATGAAACCACTGAGCCATTTCATTTGTCACATTTCCTTCTTTTCCGCATACCGCCTGATCAATCCGCAAATCGTTATGAATTCAAATACAACTCCATCAAAATGGGCAACGCGGTGTCTTCTATTGCATCATTTGCTTATCCTAACACTATTGAGCCATATATCGGTGTTCCTTATGAATTTCTGCAAAAAATCGTTCGAAATCTCAATGCAACGGTCAGTAGTATTAATGCATTATAACTTCACTGATTCCGATTTTGGTTTATTTCGTTAAACGCTAGATTTTGTTCTTTCTTTAATATGAAAGTATTTCAGTTTGATTTAACAAGGATGAAATATGTGGTAAAATGTGACAGATCTATCCCTAACACATTCGAACCATTCGAGATATCCACCGACAGTAACATATACATCGTTTCGCCAGAACATTTTATTATCAAACATAATGTAAATTCCTATTCTTTTATAAACTGGTAGAACATCTAATAAGAAATGACAAAGACATAAGCGCCAGACTCCATTTCATGTTTGCCTTAAAAATTAATATTCTATTTATAGTGGCAGCTGTATGATAGTCGAATTTTACTTCGGTATCAGTAATTGTTGTTGAAGTCTATTTTTTTAATTTAATGCTTCAAAATGGTTAAAAAAAAACACTTTTCTCATTGATGCTGTTGAGAAGGTATATCATGAAAATTAATATTTCAGCCGAACGATACGCTATGCGAACTTGCATTCGGAATAAATGAAAGCATTATTTTTGATGATCCAAACGCAGTTATGCTCGGATTGCCATTCTTCCATCAATATTGTGTTATGTTGGAACCACGTGATAGACGTATTAATTTCGCACCAATCATTTAATTCAAATTGTACGCACTACACTGTTTTAAACAATTAATTAAATTAGTAGAATAAATAATTTTGAATTATATCATCATCGCTGTAATTTTTGTGCGTTTTTAAAGACGCATCTTTAATGAATAATCGAAAGACGTGAAATCAATTGTATTGAAGAAAATATAATCATAAATATATTGAAATGATCAAAGTCTGTCGTAAATACAATAGTGGCAAGATTTCGATTTTATTGTGATTTTATCGTTGTGATTTTATTTTGTAGGATTAGTGAAAGGAAAAAAATTCAAAGGGAAAAAATTTATCATGATATCAAGCATCACATATTTTATAAATTCGGAAGGATTCAATTTTCATAGATCCGCTTAGAATGTAGGGATTCTTATAAAATCATTTAGCCAAAACGATTCTGCTTGATAGAATGTTCTCATATAACGGGATTTACCGGTTCTATTGTTTAATAGGATTTACCGATCCTCTGTTAACATTATTGCAGGAATCAGTTAGCTATCGGTACGGCATTCTGATTCTCTGGCAGAAGTATGGGACTGAATAATTTGAGTGTTGACAGCATATATGCAGAAATACATAGAGAAGTTCAGAATGACAATTATTAATGATAAAAACGCAGTTTCGCTCGGAACACCATTCTTCCATCAATAATGTGTTACGTTGAAACCGCTTGATAAGCATATTAATTTCGCACCGATCATTTAATTCAAATTTTATTCACTGCATTGTTTTAAACAATTGATTAAATTAGTAAAAGAAATAATTCATTACAGTTCATATTTTATTTTAAATGATCATTCATCTTCTTTTTCTCCAAACTTCAATATGAATATTACGAAGATAAACAATAAATGTTTAATTTTACAGGTTAATAAGAAGAAAAAGATTTAATATTTTATTGATGTTTTCAAATTATTTTGGAGATTAAAAAGTATAGTGAGGAATTTTTCAAAAATTTTACGAATTATTTAAGTTGTGATATTGTAGCGAAATTTCCATTCGCAATATATATGTAAGTAAATATTGTAATTCTTGACCATTGGTTATTTTCACAAGCTATTAGAGGGAGAGAGAGAGAAAGAGAGAGAGAGAGAAATTTTTCATTTTATCTTTTAATTTCTCTGATCTTTTTGCTTTTACTTTAAAACATATAAAATTTGCAAATTAACTGTGAAAGATTGAGTATGTTTTAACTTACTGAAACACAGATAACCTCAGATATAAATAGATTACATCGATTTTTTTCTCACAATTGGTTTCGTTTGTACAAAACGGAAAGATCTCGGATCTATCGATTTTCTGCGTTGTCGCGGTTTCCATCTAAAAATTTCATCTTATTTCAAAATCGATGAAAAATTGGATTCAGTATAATTATACTTTATTCACATGAGAAAATACAAGTAAAAAAATATAGTAATATTGATTAATTGCCACTAGCAATATCAACCAATTCATCGATTGATTGATTAATTTCGCTAATAATTTTCAGTAAAAAGAACGGTCTGACAAAACTGAAATCTAAAACTCATTTTTTTGGCGTAGAAATGATTAAGTGGAAAAAAGTGAAAAAAAGAAATGATATAATGCTAACTTGTCAACACATTTATAAATGGCCGCATAGGCACCCCAATAACGACATCCAATCTGTCCAACCATACCCATTTGACGATTTAGGCATGCCAGCAAATGCAAACGCTGAATTTCATTTCTTATTAATAGTAATTTGAGAAAAACAAATTACCAAATTAAGTTTCATTAAATTATATGCAAAAAAGACAAACAGCAATAGTAGTGAGGACATTCATCCACTCCGATTGATAGAATTTAATCTAATTTTGAGAAAATCAATATTTTATGCAAATATTCTAATCATTTCAATTACCATTCCTCATTACGTTTATTTTAGTCATATGAATGGTTGAATGGATTACTTAATATATTTAATTTTGCAGTATAAACTGTAAAATAAATGTTGGCACAAGGATATGTGTCAGTAATGTTAAAAATTCTGCTATTTATTTAAAAGATTTCAAATCCCGTCAAAAATTTATTGAAAATCAATTTTAGACCAAAGAGTCTAAAATTGTTTTGCTGTCTTGAATCTTCCATTTTCATTTAAAAATTTTGCTATTTATTTAAAATTTTAATTTGAGAAATATTTCTGTGCCAACCTGTGTTTGTACTATTCTTGCACATTTATGATGTCCATTTCGTATTGCCAAATCTTCAGCTGTATGACCCATACAATTAGTCAATTGTAATGCTGACAAACTCCAACCCTAAAATATTATTCTATTATAGTTATTCATCTTTTGTAAAATCTCCAAAATGAAATGCAAAGAAAATTTTTTGAAATCCATTTGTATCATGAAGAACCTTTGCAAGTGTATCCACCATAAAATTCATTAAATCATCGCGACCTTTCATTGCTGCATACATTAATGCCGTATTGCCAAGCCTATCTTGTGCATGAAAATTGCAACCATGCTGGAAGTTGTTGAAAGCAAAAAATTTCATTCTTCAAATTTTATTAAAAATAAACTTTCAATTGTTGTTGCATGAAAATTAGCATTGAATTTTCATATGCATCAAATAAGCATGAATTTTTTCGATTAAATTTTAATAATTTGAATTTTAAAATATGTAAAGAGTAAATATGAACATAACACATACGGACATATATATATATATATATATTTAAGTATATTTATTTCATTCATAAATTTTTATGTCACTTTCAGAATAGATATAAAATTGGAATAATAATAGTAATTAATTTGAAGAGAGACAATCTTACAACTTTAGCAATTAATAAACCCTCTTCGGTCCTATTATCTTCTATGCATGCATACATTAGCGCAGTTCGTTGTTCTCGTTTGTCTTGAAAATTGATCTCTACATCACGGTCAATCAATAATTGAATATATTTGAGCTAAAATTATTACCAATATTAAATCTTTCGTACATTAGCAAAGTTAGCAACCACATACTGATTGCTTATCAATTTCATACATAATTTACAACTGATGAGCACTTACTATGTGATTGTTAACTTATATGATTTATTCATCATTTAGGATTGATTGTTTACAAAAAATCTTTTATGGACAAATCTGAAATTATGCTCAAATTTATTTGCCTTACAATCAACAATTTTCTTTTCTTATAAAATATGTGATAATTTTAAAATATTTTTAATAAATGATTAAAATGAAAAAGAAAAGAGTGAGATATTATTAATTATATGGAAGATTAACTTACTCTGTTTCTTTTATCATTAAGATATTTAATTGTTGCTATAAGAAGTGATTCACCATTTAAATTAACTTCATTAGGGCTTGAATCGGGAACTGCCTATGATAATTTCAATGAAAAACAAAAGAGGAAGAAAGTAGAATTTGATGTAAACTGATAATCACCTTATGCATATATATATATCGAAAATATTTCACTTTTTCTATTAATTTCATTAAACTAAAATTAAAGAAAATTTTTTGAGTAATATTTAGGCAAAAATAAAAATTAGAAATTTGTACATTAAAATGTATTCATTCCATTGAGCTTTAAATAAATTTGCTTTAAAAGAAATTAAAATACTTGAATTTTTTCTTTATAAATCTGAGGTAAAGTAAGATTTGCAGCAAGTGCTTTAGCTTGAATTGTATGAAGATGATTAATTAACCAATTTTGAATGTCATCATTATCCGAACAAATCGACTTCTTACCTGACTTCATCTGAAATTAATATTATAATGTAAAATATGAAATTGAATTAAACTAAGCCATAAATGTTTATAAATGAAACAAAGATCAAAAATGAATGAAAAAAGTGAAATGGAACAATTTTTTAAAGTAAAGTAGAAAGTATCAAAATTAAATAGAATGGATTAGTTTTACTTGCTTGAAAAGAACAAAATGAATAATTGGAAAAAGTGGAAAATTAGTAATTAATGAAATAAACGATTTCCTTTTCTTTTTCTGTTTTATTTAGCAATCCTGAAATTAAATAATTTTTCTTCACTTTTCCCAATAACACTGTGAAATTCAATTTTTGTGAATGAGAAAATTGTTTAGCAAAGATTTATGATATTGCTAAATAACAGCAATGTGAAATAGAAGCAACTAACAACGTAAAATAGAATATCAAAATGAAAAATTCATATTTTCAAAATTGTTATTTTGGTATAGTTGAGTTCACATTTCCTTAATACACAACGAAGTTAATCGTTTTCTATCCCTAATCCTAATTTCATTTCTTTTCTTTTTTCATTACTACTCAACCATCTAATGAAAATTTCATTTCATATGGATATTATACCCATATAAACATCTTTTATTACTTCTCTGTTATTTTAACAGCCAAAATTGCGGGCTAAAATTGTTAGCATAATTTTTGGCCGTACCTTTAATCATTTTCTTCTTCCTGTATCACAAATGATATGAATGATATCATCCATTACCATATCATATCAGTCATTATCATAATTGATAAAAGGATAATTTTGCAGAAATTATAGTAAATTTGATGGAATGTATTATCATCAAAAAGAAAGTTAAATATGTAAAAGTTGAAAATAAAAGAATGCAAAATGAATATTTTGCATTTTATTTTTAAAGAGAAAATTCATTCAAACGAAAATCATTAATTCGTAGAAAAAAAGGTTTTGAAAAAGGAAAATTTGCCATTAAAAATTGAAAAGAAAGAAAAGAAATGGAAATATTCCACAATTTATTAACGATCACAAAATGAATGCTTTTTGAGAGATTTATATTTGAAATGATTGAATAAAAGATTGTATTAACGTATATTTATAAACATTTCAAATAATTGTTAGAGAAATTATCAAATATTTCATATTGAAAACAATAGCAAGAAAGGAAAGATTAAAAAAGCAGAGAGAGAGAGAGAGAAAAAGTAAAAAAAGATAAATTGAAGGAAATTCAACATTAACAATTACTATTCAACGAAAGGTAACAATTCTTTATTAATTATCAATCACGCGTTATCTATTGAAATTGTTAAGTTAATTCATTGAAATTATAAGCGTAAATAAAATCAACAAATTAATCAAACACAATCATTTTGTTTTTCTATTACAAAATTTATTGCAATTTTGTCGTTTAAAATAAAAATTAACAAAAAAAGAAAATGAAAGTTTGTCGATAATAAAAGGATATATCGCCGATAGTTTTAAGACAGATTGCACTTACTGTGTTATATGATAATTTGAAAGTAAATAAATTATCGAGTTGCTAGTTTCCTAGTCTAGACATAATTAATTATTAAATATCAAGTTTTCCATTCTTAGTTTTCAATTTAAAATTTAACTTCCTCAATTGCAATATAATTAAATCGGTATTGAATTATATAAGCTAATTTATTTTATTCGAATTTATTCTTTAGCATCAAATTTTGCTTAATACTTTGACAATATATATTCTTCTCTACCGCTTTCCGCAATTACTGAGTTTTCAATGAATACGCATAAAGAGGTTAACTTTTGATAAGGATGATAATATTGCCGATAATACAAATAATTAAAACGATGATAATGAAATAACGTATAATAGTAATAGTAATTAATAATAAAGATAATTAATACTTAATAATTATAAAAGAAGAAAAAGGAGAAAAAAAGTCTTTGGAGAAAGAACAAAGCAACGATAATAATAATGATAACGCTGGCAATAACATTAATGGCAGTAAGTATTTCAAACACAATTTTTAAGAATACTTACAGAATTATAAGTATTATTCAAAAAGTACATGCAATATTCTAATTACAAAGATAATTCTGATAAAACAATAAACTAATTTTTTTTCTTCTTCCTTTTTTCTTTTGTTTTACAAAACATTCTATTTAATCTATGAATAAAGCAAACTTACGAGAAGTTAAAAAACAAGAAAAAGAAAGAAAGAGCTTTTTAGCTTAATTTAAAAAGACGAAAAGCCGTGTGTGGGTGGTGACAATTTGTCAAATTGACAAAATTGTTCGTTGTGATTCATTTCTATGAAATCATTTATCATTGTTGTGTTGTTATATTATTTCTTATAAATTATGCAAAAAATATTTACTGTTAAATTTTCAAAAAGAATAATTAATAAAATATACAAAAGTTGAATGAAATTGTTTAGTAATTAATAGAAATGAATGAATGATAAATTTGAATAAATAAAACAAACAATTAGCAAATTAAACGTTTGCTTAAAACTTATTAAAATGGAAATTTTATTTTCATATAGAAATTAAACTATCAAATTCTTTCTTTCTTTTGGATTGAAAAGATGTTTTATTTTTTTGGAAGCTATTAGATAATTATTTTTTTGACATAAACAAAAGTTTCTATTTTTTTTGATTAAATTCAATGAGGGAAATAAAGGAGATGATGATATATGTTCGCATCATTAAAGTTGGAAGTATAAATTAACAAATAATTTTATAGCAAAACAATTAAATTAAATAAAATCGCTTAGTAAATAACAGAATTAATGAATGATAAATGAGTATATAAATAAATAAATAAGTAAATAAATAAATAAATGTGAATGTTTGTTATTCCTATATCATAAGTTTAATATTTAGAAATATAACTAATATTTCATTTCCCCAATTTCATTACACTCTATTTTGATGATTGCAAAATTTGATTTACTATTAGAGCTTCTTATTAGCTAAAAATAATAGAATTCGCATTGAACAAATTAAGGAGTTAAAATGCGAATTATAAGCGTAAAATAATTCGTATTTTCATTCATTTTTGCTTAAAACGCTTGAAATCTTAAAAATTATCCGACTTATGTTGAAAGATTGAAATTTTGCCGAAAATTAAATTTCGAAAATTTTCATTTCATTATAAATAATCATGATTATAGTAATCAAGTTATTCAAAAGTTTGCAAAAGAAAAATCACATTGGTTAAATGGATATTAATAATAACAGAATGAATAATCAAATATGAACTAAAACTGTCATTAAGAAGAAGAAAACAATTATAATTTTCATTTTAGAATCTATGACAAATTTCAATTGTACTTTTGCAACCACAGCTTATATTAGTAAATAGAAAATAAAACACTTTCAAGCAGTTCTCATGGGAAATTAAATTCTTCTCCAAAAAAATTTCCTAACATTTCAATTGGTGCAGCGTCAGCGTCACTAAATTTTACATTTTCCATGCAAGTAAATTCAACAAACATTGAAAATGGATGAAAGGCGAAGAGAGAGAGAGAGAGAGAGAAAGAGAGAGAGAAGAGGAAGAAAAGAGTAAAGTGGAAATATTTTAGAAACAAAAAAATGTTAAAGTGACAGCTATTCAGAAAAGAGAAAATAATTTTGCCATCACAAATGAAAGTTAGCATAATTAAAATTTTAGAAACGAATTGTTATAGTAGAAAATCTTCAATAATTATTCATTGTTTTATATCAATAAATTCCTTTCCTTTAAATTTATATTTGTTATTTTGCATTTACTCTTTTATGCAACAAAATAAAAATTAGAAGAGAACGAGAGAAGAAAAAGGAGACATAATGAGACGACAAATTCTTTCATAAAATATAAATGACAGCTCTTTCAAATATTTTTCTTAGTATGTTAATCATTGATAAGTAGAAAGGATGTAATATTTGATTAGTCGACCATTTATGGTATATTGTATTCATCAAATTTATTCATTGGAAAAAATTGTGAGAATTTTTTTGAAATATGTTTAAATTATTATAAAAGTACAATGGAACAATTTTGCACTTATTTATGCGAAATAAAATTATTTAAATCATGCAAAAATTTCTAATAAAATATTAGTTTTTCTAATAGTTAAATAATATTTATATCTGTTATCGATTAAATTTTATTATGCAATGATACATAATATAACTAATATAAATTATTAGTTTTGTTTTATGAAAAACAAAAAGTTATTTGTTGTCACTAAAAATGATAATAAAGACATCCAATAATTTATACCATAGAATATAAGTTTTTTCTTTTCAATAATACTTTGTAAAATTTATATATATCTAATAAAATATTTTGTATTAGTAAAATTTAATTTATAAATTATTGATATGAATTTAAAATATTTTAAAATTTAAGCAAAATTCTCGATATTTAAATTAAGCAATAAATAAACAAAAAGAAGAAATAAGAGAATTGAATATTTTTTTAAAATATTTGTTTTAAATAAATTAAATAGTAAAGAAAAAGAACATTATAAAATTTCATGCTTTCGTCCATAAGACATGCTTATTAATCATTAATTAAAGTTTTTTAATGAAATGCAATTGGAATAATATCTATTAATCGTATATACTGCCTAATTGCATCAATTAGACGATTTAAATTTATATCGAACTTTTAAATTATAAACTTACTAATCGTTTCTCATTATTACCAATGAAATGAAGCTAATTTCTCCTTTCATTCATTTCCAAAATTAAAATTGAATGATTAAATTGAATGATTCAACAAAAAATTTTAACCAAAAATGAACATTTCTATAAATAAATAAATAAATAAAATAAATAATGTTCATTTTTTGCTTTCTTTACTTTTTGCAAAATTTCATTTCAGTTTTTTTTAGGAAAGAATAATTTATTCTAATTTTAGGCCTTTTATTGGTGATTTTTCATTTGGCACAATCGATTTTTCAATCTTTACAGAAACACACACACAGGCTGGCAATTGAAAGATGAGTCATTTTTGAGGTGGCAATAATTCGAATATAAGAAATGAAA